TTTCACTTCTGCATAACCATCCTTAAACGCGACGCGATAACCATTGATCACTGGCTATCTGGCTATCATCCAAGATGCATTAAGGATTTTATTCTTGCGTTTCTTCGGCATGTACGCTGCGCTTTGTCAGAAGATAGCGGCCGAGTATCTCCGCGCGCGGGAAGAGGGACGACGACGCCAAGTGGGATTGGAAAAGGACGAAAACGTGTTAGCCGGTGGTAGAAAACGAACAAGAGGGATCGTCCAGGATAATGAGAAAAAAATCGCAGCGAAATCGGGTAGGTGGAGGAGGTGGGAGACGAGGGGGAAGGGGAGGAGGCCCCGCGTCCATGCACCGTTGCGCTCGACTGTCCGACTGTCCGTCCCGTACGTCCTGGACGGACCCGTCGGCCCCTGGGACCAAAGGGATGGACGGATCGCAGATTACGTGCATTTCAGATTCACTCGTATGCGGTGCGCAGCGACTCGTATTTCCCGGCGCGGGTAATAAATTACGATCGCAATCGTCGTATACGCGCACGCATTGTCGGTCACGCTGGACGACGACGGACGACGCGAGCAGCCGTCTTTTAAGGCCTCTCTCCGTCGCTGGCTGCCGATGAGGACTCTCCTCCATTCAGCCCCGGCCTCGCCGCCCCGGCGACTCTCCTCCGCGTTGTCGCAGATTAATGGCGATTAATTAACTAATCGACGCGACCACCTCGACCTTTGCGAAACCCCCTCGATTGGGATCATCTCGATTGTGCGAAGAATTCGACAGCGCATCTTCATTTTTATTTTCTGATTTATGTGTAATCTAATTTCATTTAATTTCTCCCCCCCCCCCTCCTCTCTCTCTCTCTCTCTCTCTCTCTCTCTCTTTGAATCGGGTGTTCTTATTTGCTTTTAATTGGCAGAACTTATTAAGAAAGTACTTGGAGTGATGTTGGGGTCCTGCAGGGCCCGAGGTCTCGCATGCGATACGTATACAACATCGCCGACTCGTTCGCCGGGCCCAGGACCATCGTTTCGTCCTTCTCGGTAGCGATGCTCAAAGATTCGCACACGGCCCCCCCGTCGACGATGTCTGGAGGCCTTGACTGGGCCCCTCGGACCTAACTCCAAGCGCGGCATACCCAGCGGGCCCTTCCCTCGTCCTCGCGCCGCCGATCTTCACACACGACCACGCACGGCCGCGCGAATTCACGTACGCAATCCTTATATCCACACATCGTGCGTGTATCCTTCGCCGCCGGCGCATCCCGCCACCTTCGGGACGTCTGAATCCGAATGCATGTAAGTGCATCACTCGTCAGTGCAACAGGTACGCGCGTACAGCGATATTTGTCAAAGGCGGTTATAAGACATCTCGCGGATGTGCACGTGTATGCGCGTGTGTACTGGCAAATAACAAATTGTCGCCTCGACGGGGGGGCCGCTTTGCGATTATGATTTGCGCGATTAAAAATCTTTTTCGTCTCGAAAGTGCTGTTTCTTGCAAGCACGACGTCGATTTCCGACTGTGACACAATCAATAATAATTATACATATGTATTAATTTACACGTTACATTTTATCTCTAAAAATTGCATATATATATAAGTTAGTTTCTCAGAAATTAATTTGATCTGTAGTTGAAATCACTACCCATCAATTACTAAATTTATTATGGGCGAAAAGAGCTCGATATTAATTAGTGACAAAGAAGATGAAAAGACTCGGTGTGAATCAAGCTAGATTTATGTTCCAGATATGTATTATAAGTTAATCGAAGTTACAAGAGAGATCTCACATGCAGGAGACTCCAATGGTGGTGGTAGTGCTCTTATTTAATACAAAATTAGTCCGCTTTGTGCGTCCCTGCCATCAGTCAGTGCAAGTTTTATATTTACCTAACGTCGAACCACACGTGAGAGCTAGAAGAACCACTTTTAATCCCACATGAAGAGCCTCTAAAGAAGGTTTCAATCATCTCATGCTTTCAGTGCCGCCAAAAACCGCAGACGGAGCATCAAGTGTCTTTCCGCGTTCCTTTATGACTAGAGCTCGGTCGGTTTATTTATGCATAAATTATCGCATCTATCGCAGAAGATGATCTCAATTAACTTATAATACAGATCTAGCGCACATCTTAATCGCCCAGCTCTTTCGTCTCCTTCGTTTGTAACTTTTGAGCCTTGAACTGCTATTGTAACTATTGCGATTCTTCGATAATAAAGTTTTCTGCACGTTTCTATTAATTTACACGGTGACGAATTATCTCCGCGGCATGCGGCATCCCCGTTGATGAGGTGACCTAGGATCAGTCCCGATCCGTTGCATCGAGAGATTTACAATTCATCAAGGTAAGAAGGGCACGAGGGTAGATCGATCGTATACGCCGAAGGAACGCGCAGTGAGAGGCCGCCGGTCGGACGTAAATTTATCACGACGTTATCTCGCCCGTTGTGGAGCCACGTTCGTTAATTTTATCCCGACCTTTCTCTCCCTCCCCCACCCCCTCTTTCTCTCGGGTCTGTTCCTCTCCTTCCCCCCCCCCCCAACTTCCTCCAACCCTCGTCTTCTCTCATCGGTCCTTCTTCACCCTTTTTCTCCAACCCTTTCGTCGCCGGGACGAGGATCGCGTAAATAGACTCGAAAATCCGGAGTCGATGGAACGGCGGTCCACTCGTCCGCACCGAACTTCACTTCGAGAAAGATTTAGAACTCGCCCGGGTATCGCGTGACTCTCGTTTTAATCTTCCCCTTCTGAATGGGACGAGAGACGAGGCGCGAATTAAAGGACACGGAGGAAAGGGAATACTATTGCAAAAGGAAGTCCTCGTTGCTTTGCAGTCGGGACGGTCCGCGATAGGCTCCTAGGAATCGATTCGTCTTGCGTCGTAGGAAAAAGAAGAGGAAGAAAATGTTGTTACGAAGTCGAAGTCGCGTACAAGAAGCCGCCGCCGAGTAGATTCCGCGTTTTCAGCCTCCGTGCTAAACGGAGGGGACGTGCCCAGGCTCCACGGGAGGAATTCCTCGCGCGGCGATACGGCGCAACCGGGCGTCGTCAGGCGTAATGGATATAAATTTAATTAAGATTAGGATTTCGGGGAAGGCGCGCAGGCTCCGGGCCGCAGCAGGTTCTAGAGCTTGGAACTCCGTTGTCCAGTCCTTCGCCGGCCTTCTAGTACCTGATCGCCAATTAAAACATCTCGTGCTGCTGTTCGGTAACTTTAATTGTCAAGTCAATTACCGCTATGCGTTATATAATAAAAAGAAATCTTTTGTCGATCAGCTTTGTTATTTAGGCGAACCTGTAATTTTTACTCGTCGCGAGTCCTTCCGTCATATGCATTTTGTGCACAAGTGAGAAAAGAGCCCGGCGTGGCCGCGATACACCTCGACGGAAACCAAAACGGCTTCATCGGCTACGACGTCACGTTAATTAACGCTTCTCATTAATGCGGATCGGTTGCGCGAGCGGGCTTCCCCTTCGAAAGCGATTCCGTCGTTCGAGCGGAGAAATGCGGCTCGGGAGAAGAGGGGGATACTCGCGATAGTTCTTTTGTTCCCTCTCTCTTTCTCTCTTTCTTCCGCTCCTCCTCCGGAGTCCCTTTCTCCGCCGGAGTCTCTCGCAGGTCCTTCAAGACGCTGCCTCGACCTCCCTTTCTGCTGCAACCGCCTTCTTAATCTTCCTTTAATTCCCCGGCTTTCGCGTTTCTTTAGCTCCTTTTTCCACCTTTCGTTTCCTTCGTTTCATCTCTTCGTCGTGCCTCTTCTTCTCCGTCTTCTCCTTCTCTCCCCGTCCTCCCCTTTGTTGTCGCCCCCTTTTTGTACCATCTCCCAGCTTCGCGGCCTTTCGCCGGCTTCCTTCGCCGGAGAGAGATACGCGCCGACAGGTTTCGAACTGTCTCGGATCCCTCGTAAAGGGCTGCTTCGGCGCGAAATCGAGCCGAGGAGTCGAGTTCCTTCGTCGCGTGTGCTTTTCCTCGCGCTCGAACATTTCGCGAATCGTAGGCAAAAAATATTGTCGTCCTCACCAACCGTTTAATTCTACATACACTATTTATGTCAATGAATGTTTTAGAAGCTCCTACTCTATACGTACTGAAGCAAATCTGTTATCGTATCTTTGATTTAAAAAATGTTGTTGCCGCAAGCGGTTACGCGCCGAGAATTTTTTTAATCCGTTTTACTCCGCTAATTCCGAAGGATCATGGAATACCCACGGCCTTTTCATACCTTTATCCCCGCGTATCTTTGTAACGACCCTGGAAATTATGCTTTGATTCTATCATTGAAGTGACTCACAGGGAAAACTGGATGTTTCGCCGGGAAAAAATGCGCCGAGCAAGAAGCCGCGCTCGCTCCGCGCGATCGTACACGCGGTATACGCAATCGATAGGCGAGATAAGAAGGAAACGAGTCCTTCCCACACGGCTAAACGACGACGGCGATGCATTAGACCGTCTATTTAAACTGCGACCGCTTTATTAATCCTTGCCCGTGTTCTCATGCCTACGCAAATCTCTTTTTGCGCGACGACCGCGCTAATTTCATCGCGTCGCGGTCGTGTGAAAATTGTTTTTTCGCTCGCGAGGCGTGGATAATCGCGAAGAATCGTTTTACGGAGATTTCCAAACCAATTCGTTCTTGTTAATTATTGACAGGGCCATTGTGTCTCGAGGAAATCAATTATCGAAAGAGAAATCGCTATAGAAAGATCCGAGCCGAGTAACGTTGCTGTTTGGAAAATGCATAATGTCGAAATCTCTTTTGTTATCTAACATCATTAAGGCGGCAGATTATATAAGGAGCCGCTTGCAAGGGCTCGATAATATAGACGTATGGTTCGACTTGGCCAGCGGGCCGAAGTTATGCAGCCCCGATACTTTTTTGCACGGGAATCGTCCTGGACACCTTTTTTCGGGCATCGAGATTTATCGATCGGATCGCGCACGGTCGCGCCGATCGCCCTCCTATAGATCAACGACTATCGGGGACATCGGGTAGGAGGATCTCGTAGGAGAGCGACTTACCAGTAGATTGACAGTGCCGGTGTGATCGTCCACCCAAGCGAGCAGGATGTCGGCGCCTTTCATGTTGATCTTGTCGTTAAAACCGACGCCAACGTAGCCCAGGGTTTTGGCGGTGACCCTGAAGGCCACCTCCTCCTTGCCCGAAGGATCCCACTCGAGGATCACGGGGCTATTCTTCCCCAGAGGCTCGTACCTCGTGAAGTTCCACGGTCTGTCAGTTATGTTAGGTCCCTCTGCTTCAAGCTCGTTAACTCCTGGGCTCGCGCTCCTCTTGGACCTCCTCGTCGCCGTATCATCTTTTACGTGGCTCTTCGCCGGCTTCTCCGGAAAATACTTCTTCGGCACCCGACTACCCTTCGGCGTCCTCTTGAGGATCGGATCGATGAACGGCTTCGGATTGATTCGCTCGTTCTCGCTAATAATCTCGAACTGCGAGTTATCTTCGGTCTCCATTTCCTCGGGATCTTTCTCGTTGCCCTCCGAAAATCCTTCCTCGGATGTCAGTGTCTCGATGACCACCTCCTCGTTGGTCTCATTCTCCACGATCGACCGCCCATCCTCCGACGTTTCCTCTCGCTCCTCAATAATCGGATCCTGTGAGATACTCGACTGCGAGTCAGTGGCGTTTTCAAGAACTGTCGACGTCTTCTCCAAGTGCTTCGGATTCGTATTCGAGAGTATTTCATGCTGATCAGGGTTCAGGTTCTCCTCCCGTCTGTTCGGATAGTCCACAGCGTCGTTCTTGTAAGAGACCATCTTCCTCTTGGCCTTCCACTGCTTCAACCAATTCTCGTCGACGTCCAGCCGCTGCTTCTTCAAGTTACCGATCCTGAGCAACGGTTCGCTCTCATCGAGGCTCCTCTTCATTCTCCTGGTAACAGGATCCGCGGGATGCCGCTTATCTCTGTACAGACTGTTCGTCCGCATGGTCTCGTCCATGTGCTGGACGTAGAGATCCAACAGATCGCACTTGACGATCCAGCACGCGGCCAGCGTCACAAGCACCCTGAGCAACAACATCTTCATCCACTTTTCTTCCACCTTCTTTATCCCTCATGCGATCATTAAGCGAATTCTGCCATTTGCTTCGCCAGACCCGTCAATTTATTCCCTTTTCAATTTTATCTTACCGAATACGATCGGATATACAACCGGAGTCGATCTATCACTGTTTACCGGAATTAATCTATCATCTTTTAGCCACTGCACCCGAATTTTAACCGCAATTCCCCTCAAACCCTTTTAATTATTAACCGCGGGCGCAGTTTACTGCAAATTCCGCAGGGAGAAGTATTTTTGTAATTCCTTATCGCGGATGATGTTTTTACCGATCCTACCTTACCGAAGGGTTAAGTTTTGATGCTAATATAGATGCGGATCGGCCATATTCGCGAGTATTAATAAACATTCAGATGATTCGAGGTGAATTGAGCCGTAGTTTCTCTCACGATTTCTCGCTAATCCAATTTTCAACACACCGCACTCGAGAACGGTCTTCCGCGCATGCTGCGCGCACGACCGTTGTGCCGGGACTAATTTAAACACGCGGCTGCCGCGCTGCCCCTACAGATGCTCGCACCTGCGGTCCCCTTCCTTCGGGGCCCCGCTACAGGGACGTATTGACCGTTCCGAGACGCATTAACTGTGTGCGGCCCAGCAGCCACCAAAGCCCCCGAATGGAATTTTCTTATTAAACGTACCTTTCCCGCCGTAAGGTGGAATTTAAAAGAAAATCGAATCCGATAGGGTGCAACGAATCTTTCCCTAGCCGACAAACGAAAGGTCGAAATTGTAAAAAATCACTTGGAAAAAGTATACAAAATTTACACGGCAAAGCGATATCACCTAACCAAAGCAGACTGTGTTATATGTCCGCAAGTACGGCGCGCAGGACAGGTAGAGAACGGTATATGAGTTCACATGTTTCCCTTTCTAAAAAAAGAGATGTTACCTGCGCGAATGTCGCTAATATCGAACAGTTGCGACCTCTTTTCCGCGATGCAGATTGGTTTTCTCGAGGCGCGGTGTGCTTCGCTTTCCTTACAGAAATGTAACGATTGGGAACGGAAAAAGCACTGAACAATTACTAGAGTTCCGTAATTGAATTATTAGAAATTACTGATGTACAGTAATTTTTTAGCAATTCTTTTATTTTTCGTTTTTTTTCAACAATTTCGTTATTTCGCTTGCACATTTCTCTTGAGAATATTGAAGGGTTCTCTTTTAGATTCGTGTCATGCTTCACCTCGCGCGTGAATTTTGACAGTTTGCGAAAAAGTATACGGTGGCTCCTGTGTACAAAGGAGCGGCTAGTATGGGTGCTTTGGTGGGGCCCTTTCGATTTTTATAAATTCATATGACTTTTTCATTTAAAAAATCACTTAATGCATTATTGATCTATAGATAATATAACATGGGTGTTATATTACATTTATCTTCTTGAGTAAGAAATTATGACATTGATGTTATGTAACCGTTACTTCATGTTTACTGGAATGTTAAAAAATACGACGTTAATATGTCTTCTTTATTTTATTTCATCGGCGACCGGGTCTGAATTTTTGCGTACTGACAGATAAAATTTACAACTGCACATTCTTAAATTTCAATTTTTTTCTACTTTTGGTCGGTTTGTACAGGGGCCACCTTAAAGAAGGTTGGAGAATAAAGAAAGTTAAAGTTAAACGTCTAATTGAGTGAAGGAAATTGATACTGACAAAGTAAAATTTAAAAAATAATTAGAAGGCACTGAAATAATATCAATTTAGTAAGAATGGGTGGAAATGAAAGGTAATATAAAAAAATTATTATAATGTATTAATTATTAATTAAAAAAATGATTCAGTTATTAACTAACTTATCAAGAGAATGGAACAATCTGCCCTAAAATTAAGGATGATGCTAAATAATCATTGAATGCATTGAAATGATATCTGTCAATTTAGTAAGAATGAATGAAGTGTAGCACGCGTAATGTATTGTTCTATTAATTAAAATTACTGGGCTATACCCACACCTCGCTCGGACCCAAAAATTGGCGTTCTCGGTTCTTATTCGATTCCACGCAGAAAATATTATCAGTTTACCAAAATCCATCAATTCCAACGAAAACTATCTTCTCTAATCGATTGAAAAAAAAAACTGAAACGATTTAACTTCCGCGAGTTTTTTATTCGATTTAACGTCCGGTCTTTAACTCTTTACGTCAGCGGAAACGAACGACAGGGAAATGTAAATTACGGCTCTGTCGCGGAAAATGAAAATTATTTGTCTAAATAACTCATCGTATTTTTTCCTACCGACGTCTCATTTGCCGCTGATATCTCATTTGCCGCTCGTCCAGTTTTTGCGTCGTTCACCCAGGATCAATTCGCCTTTTTTTGCGCCCGACTTAGTTACGTGCGGCTAATAACTAATCGCGGCTACTCACTTAGCTACGACTCGCGTAATTCGCCGAGGATACGTTGTACGTTCTGGGACGCACGAGGGTAAATTGTTAGCGTTACAAAATCATAGTATGTACGGTAAAAAGAAGCCTTATCCTCTATGTCTACGCTCGGATCCTTCGAGCGCAATAATTGCACACGGCTCGCACGTATGCGATTATCCGCCGCTGCGGTCCGCCCGCGCGTTCATGTTCGACGAGGGTTCGAAAGAGGGATCCTGGCGGTGCTTCCTGCGGAAATGTCCCTCTCTTTTTCTCCTCTCCGTTCTTTTTTTTTGTAACCGGAGACTCACATACGCGAAACGGCGACGATGCTGTTGGTGGCGGCCTTCCCTTTCCCAAACGGGATACGGGGATGTAAAACCAACTGCAGCAGATGCGAACCCTTGGCACGCGCCCTTCTGTGCTCCAGTGGCTCTCATGCCGACCCTTCCAGCGAGACAGTGCTGTCTCGCTTTGACACCAATACCGTGTAAACGGACCGTTATTTTTTTTTATTAATGAATTATTCCAATAACATCTCGAGTTAATAAATTATCGTTGAGCCTAATCGTTCGTGAAATGTGTTGCAGCCATTTGCCAAGGGCCGTTTTATGGGATCGATATATTTCGCTTCGTACCGATATCGTCGATATATCGTCGCCCCGATCCAGCGGTTAATCGTGCGAATCCCATCCGGTTGGCGGCCGGCATATTACGCTGTAAGCGTCCGCACGTGTTCAGAAGCCACCTGTATCGAGTTCCTGCGACTGACATTGAAACACTATACTTCACGTGTGAGAATGGTTACTGATCCTCATTCTTTACGGATTGAGTATCGATCGGTACAAGAACGTGAAACGAGGAATGACTCGGCGAGAACTTTCTTGAATTGTTAAAGCGTAAAACTTTGGGAAAAGTTTCATGAAAATTGATAATATAAAACTGCATATCTCCCAAATGAAACGTGATACGGCAACTGCGTTCGACATTTTCCAAAAATTTAATCGCAGCTGCGCACGTTCAGAAATCCAAAAGTTGTCCCTTGGGTTGAAGGTCCCCTAGTAGCACAAAATATTGGCGCAATATTGGGAAATAATGTAAATCTATAGTATTCCCAATATTGGTCCAATATTGTGCCTTCTCTTATTTAGTCAATATGTCTATTTAGCAATATTGGTCTAATATTGCATCAATATTAGACCAATCTTGTTGTTACATTGTTAAATATTGACCAATGCACTTCCAATATAAATCTAATATTATATAATTATTATTATTATGCATTATTACATTTATTTCACGGCCAATATTGGCTTTAGGTTGGAGAATGCACATTTAATATCTGCCAATGCACATTTCTAACCAACACTGCACCAATATTTGGCCAATGTTTAGGCAATGCACTGTGCTACTAGAATAGTAGCACAATATATTGGCGTAATATTGCGAAATAATGTACATCTAGCATTCCTAATATTTGTCCAAAATTGTAAGACGCCTTCTCTTATTTAGCCAATATTGTTGTTACATTGTTAAATATTGGTCAATGCACTTCTAATATAAATCTAATATTATGTAATTATTATTGTGCAATATTTACGTTTATTTTATGGCCAATATTGGCTTTACGTTGGACAATATCGGCCAATGTATTTCTAATGTGACCAACATTGGACCAATATTTAACCAATGTTTAGCCAATGCACCGTGCTACTATAAGGGTCCCTCGAAAATGACTGTCGATAAAATGATCTAGGATATTCGTGCGAGTTATCTTCGTTGATGCGATTTGACTTCGCCGAATACGATGCGATCGGGATCGATGCGCCCGGCGTCATTCGAGTCAATTCCCGCCGACGGGATTAATTGGCTCCTCCGAAACTAGTTTGGCCGGAAGGATCGCCGACTGCGAAGAAACCGGGATTTGTTTTATAGCCTGCCGGATGGCTTTATGACACCGTGCTGCGTCGCGATTCACGGCCACCGGGCACAAAAGAGCGTCGTCTCTTGGGACGAAATCGGAAAAATTGTTTGATTACTTTTCGGAACAGGTGCGCGTATCGGGGAAATACGTGACTCCGAGCTTCTGCCTCCCGCTTCCTCTACCTTTCTTTGTGGTCTCACGGTCGTTCGTAGCTGGTATTCTCATCATGAGGAGGCGCGCGCTCATCGAGGGATGCGCGACGCCGACCGTGGAAGTGAGACGTACGGTCGTTTCAGTATTCATCCGGCGAAATTGTCCATCGTTCCCTCACACCGCGCCGGATCTTATTTACGTGGAAGAAGAGGTATCGACTCGGAAATCGCGTCGCCCCGGGAAAAACCGATGAAGCGACACGCCATGCGCGCGGAGCATGAGAAGCGATTAATTCCTATCGGCCGCACGTGCACGCGCGCGAACGAACGCTCGCGTATTCCGCGTGCTCGTCCCCGACGGCGTGGATGCCCGAAATAAATTGCCTTAAAGCTTCTTTTACGCATAAACAAGATTCCGGCTGCCTGCGACAATGGAATCCGATTGACTTTGATCGTGATTGGATTCATCGAAGTTAAACCGAACTCCTCGAAGTCCTCGATACACGTGGATGTTATTTTTGTGTTGTTTTTTTTGGGGGGGGGGGATCGTGGCTTGCCAAAAGTTTGGTAGCCAGCGCAAAGTAGGAATTAAAGTCTCCATTTCACCTGTCGCGCGCGCGCACTCAGCGCTCTTATACACCTGCTACGTAATCATACTTTTCTTCGACACCATCTGCCTCTCCAAAGTTTCGTTATTCGATAGGCATATACGATGAAACAGAAAATGCGGTAATCAAAAGCTACTTGTTACATATAGAGGGAAATCCTCTATTATGAGACAGCAGGTTTTTAACATCAAAATTTAATCAAATTTAAACTATCCAACCGCCAGTAAATATTTAACTAATTTAGGTGAATAATCCGACCCTCAGAAAGGATTTCTGTTACAAAAAATATTCTTGACGCATTTATATTTCTCACAACCTCATTTAGTACAAAAATAAGACAATATCAAAATAAAATCAACAATTCTTATTCCCCTCTATCGAATTAAAAAAGGTTAACTTACTATATTGACACAAGAGTAACTTGTATAAATG